TAAAGGTTCCTCAAAGCTATAATGCAGGAATGGGGAAGCTGTGTCCCTCCAGATGTTGGTGGGCTACAGCTCCCATCATTCTTGACCATTGACCATCTGGAGATGCTGGGAGTTGGAGTCCAACATCATTTGGAAGGCCACATGTTCCCCATAATACTGGCCCAGAAATTCACCTTCAGAATGTCACGTTCAGGTATGGTTGGCTTGCCTTGAGAAATGAATGTCGTTGGGGAAGTTCTTTCTCCTCCAGATAGCTCTAATAACTACTATCCACAAGAGCTAGATTCAGCTTCCATTTTCAAAGAGAGTATTCACAACTGATCACAGAATCAGAGTTGGAAGGCTCATCTAGTCCAACCCTCTGCTATGCAGGAATGTGCAGCTGTCCCTTACGGGGATCAGACCTGCGACCTTGGTGTTAATCAGGCCACACTCTAACCAACTGGGCTATCAAATTAGTACAAGATGCTGGAGCAGGTAGATAGTTCAATTGGGTTGTACTAGCAAATCTCCCTGGGGGATGAAGCTGGACCATCTTGGTAAGCAGTCGGTTGAATTAGATGGACCATTGATCTATTCTATACAGCATGATGACAGCAGTTCTTAAGGCTATTCTTAAGTTATTGACTCACTGCAGAGTACTGGCACTGGATTTATTTGCACAAAGTTATGTTTTACCCGTAGCTGGATGTATGGCTCACTTGTAATCTTCTTCTTCACCAGGCTTGATGGAAGTACACCATACACCATGATTTCCAGACGCCATAAGTGAAGCATCTCCAGGAAACACAGGCCATATTTTTTTTGCAGATCCACCGGAAGGATCCCAGTTTTGTTGACTTCATTTCATGGATTACTCTTCGAAATATGATGCATAGGAGAGAGAGAAAAGTCTACCCACCCTCTGCCCTCCATCCGTCACATCATGTTTGGTCTTCTGTTAATGTAGATGGAACCACAGGATGGCTGTCCAATGAAAGAGGAGTCAGATGTGGAGGAGGAGCTTCAGGGGAGACTGGGCAGCTTCTTATTTATTTATTTATTGACTGTAGCTCTGTGGCTATTCCCCACCAGTGATGAATGCTCACTGCCTTGACTCATTAACTCATGCAGAATAAATTTCAGAACATTATTCATGCTGCACGGAGGTCTGATGAAGCTGATCCTCACTAGGAAGAGGAAGAGGGTTATTGCATGCCCTTCGCCTTGAAGTACCAGGGTGGGTTACCACAATTTAACATGCACCACAAAAACAGTTTAAAACAACTTGCCATCCCAAAAATAGGGTGGATCCTAAAATTATGCATCCCGAGTGTCAAGGGCCAGGAGAAAAAGGTGAATCTTCAGCATTCAGTGCAGTTGCCAGATGCCATTCTGCAAGGAGGGACTTCCACAACTTAGGGGCTGCCGCAGAGAATGCCCTCTCCTGGACCACAGATATACTCTGAATTTCTGAGGGAGGTGGAACTGTGAAGAGAACTCCCTCTGCTGATCTTAACACAAGAGGGTCACCGGAAAGAAGATGTTTCAGATATTTGGACCCTAAGTTGTTTAGAGCTTTAAACGTAGGTGAGCATCTTGCATTGAACCCCAAAGCTAACTGGCAACCGTTGTAGCTTTTTATTTTTTTCAAGGCGGCTTTACATTGTGAGGCCTTGCTTCTCCCATAGTCACAGCCTTGTTGGAATCAAGCATGGCTCTGACTCCCAGCTTCTGCCTGCAGGCTGCTTTTTGCTCACACACAACTCAGGCCTTTGTCCTTCTCACTACCAGCCTGATGAGGGAAGGGTCCTACCCATTTGCCCTCTGGCACAAAGCAACTTCCCTTCTTATACTAATGACCAGTAACGGTAAAGGACCCCTGACAGTTGAGTCCAGTCACACACAACTCTGGGGTTGCAGCGTTCATCTCGCTTTACAGGCTGAGGGAGCCGGCCTTTGTCCGCAGACAGTTTTTCCGGGTCATGTGGCCAGCATGACTAAGCCACGTCTGGCAAAACCAGAGCAGCACACAGAAACGCCGTTTACCTTCCCACTGCAACGGTACCTATTTATCTATTTGCACTGGCGTGCTTTCGAACTGCTAGGTTGGCAGGAGCTGGGACCGAGCAATGGGAGCTCACCCTGTCGCAGGGATTCGAACCACCAACCTTTTGGTCAGCAAACCCAAGGCTCAGTGGTTTAGACCACAGCGCCACCCGTACTTAGGGTCAGAAACTTACCCGGCTCCTTCAACAGTGTCTCTGTGGGAATTTAAGCTGGAGCTTTCCCCAGCCAGCCCTACCCTGGGACACCAGGGACTGGACCTGGGATTATTATTATTTTTGCATGCAAAGCTACTCTGTGATGGAGCTACGAACCTTATTCTTTATGATACAGCTCTGGTGCAAAAATCATTGTAGCTCAGTGCTATACACTCCTTTACTGAGAACAAAGCCCTACCAAGTTCGGTGGGACTGATTTCTAAGTACACACAGACTTACAGGTAGGGATGTACAAATTAACCACACAACCCAAATTCTTTGTGTCTTAGAGAGCCAGTGGGGGCCATCACAAGTTGTGCAGGTCTGCCCAGGTTATGCTTCTCCATTGCATCCGCTGGTTCCTTACCAGCTGTGTTGCCCTCTTGTCAAGAGGAAGTGATTTGTTTAATTAGACTCCATTTGAAATTACAAACTGCAAAGCCTACTGGAGTGCATCTTCTCAAAAACATCCTTCATGCTGTGTCTGATGAGCTGTTCTCCTTTAACCTGAACCCCCCCCCTTTTTTTTGGTCCAGGTATAAGATTTAACAGCAGCATTGAAGCAAGTACAGAAGTTTGCACTTTCTGAGTCATGGATTTGAGTAATTTGGGTGGCATTCCAGGTTTAGGGCCAAATTTACATGGGGACATCCCAAAATCAGATGGTGTGGTGTTTCCATTTTTATTTTAAAGCATCTACTCAGGGACGACAATTGTGCTCAGGGAGGGAGACATTTAACCCTTTCCCAACAGGGAAGTTTCCTTGCCTGAATCCAACGTATGGCCCATATTATTGACTTCCTACTTTCAAATACGTCCATCTGTTTTTCAGAGGCAGATAGAAACATTGGATGCTCCCCGTTTTAAATGCATTTCAATCATTTGAAACTTTGGAATCGCTACTGCTATTAAAGATTTACAAGCAGCTCTCCTACACACTTGCTCATGACTTATTGAGTAATCCCAGCGTGAAGCTTGCTGAGCTGCCCCCAGGAATCAGAAATGTGGCAAATTAGAACATCAAATAGTACTGGTAGCCTGCCATTCAACACAGCTGAATTTGGAAAACGTATGGAAGGCAAACATCCACGTGCTTCCACTGAAACTCCTCTGCCCCCCACCCAAAAAAACCTTCATTACGAGCAAAGTTTAGAAAAGGTGCCTCTAAAGCAATCTTGCTGCAAAGTCCAGCAATTCAAAATCCCTAAAATAGTTATAACCACATACCCTAAGGAGGCTAGGCTTTGTTTGAAGTGTTTGCAAAGGTTCTTTTGGAGGGGGAGGGGAAATCTGCTGGAACTGAAGATGCTAAGGAAATCCTCCAGGCTCAGGCTTGGAAACTAATTTTGGGAATTTGCAAAAGCCTTGAAGGATGAGCGATGAGCTATTCATGCCCTCAAATCCTTCTCTATTCAACCAAATCTAGGTAGTATAAATATGCTCAAGACAGCAACCTGAGGATGTAAGGGAACCCCTTCTCTTATGGAAGATCCCACCTGTGGCAATTTCATTCTATTAGATAGGGATAGACAGACACATGGGTAAAATGCAGAATGGAGGGGAAGAGGAGAATGGAAGATATGCCAATTTTCTACCAGCAGGGAACTTTTTAAATGGACCATCAGACTAGACTCCACCTGACTAGACCATCAGACTAGACTCCACTACACTCCAACACAGGCTTACCACATGACAGCTACTGCTGTTGAGCTTTGAATGTATACATACTGGGCCATACCCAGTGCTGTGGACCTGCTGATGTGAGGGACTTTGATGCATGCATATCCTCTTCCTCTTGTCTCCTCCATCCTCCTGTGTGCCCTGGGAGGTTGGGGGACCTTCTGGAGATGATTGGGAGGCAAACTATGCAGAAATTCTGGTTTTAGTATGCTGGCTGTTTGATGTAATAAAAACTGATTTATTGATTGAATGGGAGGCACACGCGGGAAGGAGAGGAAACCCAAGTCCTATTATGCCAGTGGAAACTGATGATGAGGACTGCATTTTATTCTTTGATCCACAAGCTGCCCAGAGAACTGATGTTAGTCAGGGGGCCTTAAATTGTGAATAATCCCTGAGTAAATATTGGGGAGCCTCAGGCCAAGGGGGCCAAAAGCCATCTTCCAGACCTCTCTATCTGGCTCTTCTTTGCAGACCACGCTCTCTCCGCAGCCACACACTTGCTGGACTGGAATGCATCCCTGAAGTCTTAATCTTTTTCAGTCTGAAAGTCACAGTGCCTTCTGCCCAGCCTGCCAGGTGTCAAATGCTGGTGGATCAAATGCATTTTTTACCTTTGCACATACAGTAAGCCAGTTTCTGAACATTCTCACACATCTCTCTCTCTGTTCTACATCCAGCCAAGCAAGAGGCATATTAGATTTCAAGGACACAATCCAGTCATGAAAAGAATAATTTGAGGTGTAAGGCAGGGATAGTGAGAGGTGTGGCCTAGGGAGAAGGGGTGTGGCCTTAAGAGAGTTCTGAGGGCCAGATACAAAGGCCTGCTGGGCCACACTGGGCGCTAGGTCTGAGGTTCCCCAACACTGTTGTAAAACAGTGGTCTCTCTCTCTCTCAATCTCTCTCCTCTCTCACACACACACTTTCCTGATTTTGCGCTCCAACAGCCCAACACTGATTAAAAACATATTATTTTAATTTTCAAAAGGACAGTGCAGATATGAAACCACAAGATTACATTCCTTGACCATATTGTACAAACCCAGACACTAGTTAATAAAAGTTGACAATGTGTATGTATATAATATATATATATATTTATAGATATTTAGTTTTAAAGCCACAGGTACTTTGGTACAACAAAGTAATGACTGACATTGTTATGCTGGCATCGCAGTCTATTGAGAGACATACAATACAAAACGTCCACGTTCAAGAATGTAAATCTTTTAACATGTACAGACCTGCCGAATAGACCAACGTAAAACATGCTCAGAATAATCTAACAGAGAAAACATTTTTTTTTTAATTTTAAAAAAAGCAATTGATCAATTAGAAGGTTGCTAGTGTTAAGTCAGGAAGGCAAAGGATACAAAATCTGAAAAGGATCATTTCAATAAATATGCTCAGGCAAAGTACCTCGAATTATTTACACTGAAAGCCCTATTGTGCAGGGAGGACAGGCAGTTATAGGAGATGCTTCATAAAGAATCTATGTAAATTGGTGTTCTGAAAATAAGGGTAGAACATAAGTGATGCAACTTGCCTTTCTCTGAACGAGTGGAGAGAGGAATGTTTCGGTTTTCTTTTGTTTTTAAAGTGCAAGAATGTCTGTACTACTTGGGACTACCTAATCTCCCCACCCAAGTACAGGCCTTGTCTTATATAGATGATATGAAATGAGAAGGCAGGTCATAGTACAGCAGAGTCAAAATTAAAATGTGTTTCTTGCAGAACACACACACACTCGCTTGCAACATGATAGCAGGGCCCTACCCACATCCCACCCATTTTTGTCCCTTCCTGTGAAAGCTTGACTTATCTTACTTCGCTTCTATAACTGTTGTACACACAGCTTGACTCAATATTATGTCTTACCTGGTTTGACATTTCCCAACATAAGTGCTGGAATGAGATAAAGAAAAAAATGTCTAAGGGGAGGCAGACAGAACCATGCAAGACATGCTCCTGAAAAAAGCTCCAGAAGGTTCCACATCTGGCCCACAAAAGTACCCGATCCTAATGCAGAGTCGCGAGGAGATTAACAAGAAAAAAATTGGGTTCTACTTTTCATTCAGTTTCACAGTAGACTACCATTTGCTTTCTAGGAAAAGGAGACTTCAGATTACAGCTCTGGCACAAATGACGGGAACCTGCCCCCCTCCAGATGTTGTTGAGAGTCCAACTCCCATTATCCCAGACTAATGGTCATGCTGGTGGCAGTGGGGGAGAGGTATATAGCCACAACATCCAGAGGTTCTTTATCCCCTGCTTTAGCAATACCACACCAGCTTTAAGTGTTGGTGTGAACTCAGCAGTCAGTGTGTTGGTAGATCTAAGACAAAGGCCTTAAGACAAATTTACAAACACACATTTGGAGAGAATGGGCTTTCCCCAGAAAGTGTTGATCGAATACCCATTTTTAGGTGCACCACATGTCTGTTACCACTCCATAACACTCCATTTTCTCACATGAATCCAATTGGATGCACTTCCCTTCCTCCAAGGACTTATCCTTAAAGGACCGCCACACTGAGCCACATTGATAAACTCCTCCATGCTGTTACAGTTGGCAAATGGATATTCCCGGGACACCAGGACAGAGTTAATTCTCTCCTCATCTATTAAGTATGAACAACTCATCAAGCTTGTGGAGCCATATTGCAGAGGTGATTGGGGAATGCTACGGCCAATTATTTGAAAGCACTCAAAGAAAGCACCTCAAAAGCGCCTGAGGAGTTGTAGCGTTCCTCTTGGACGCTACAGGGGACAGTGAAAAGTGATGTCTCCCACGCCAGCACACACCAAATGAAGCTACATTTCACTGCACTCATTCCAAGAGACTCCATCGTTTTATTCAACATTTTTCAAAAGGGGAGAAGGAAGCCTGGAATTAACTCTTTATTTTCATACCAACTTTTTTATGCCCCTGGCAATTGTTGCTCAATGAACCACAGATGGTCTTTTTTAAGTATTCTGTTGTACATAGGCTCATTTTGTCAAGCAGCCTATGTAAGAACTGTGAGGGCAAGGTAAGTTTCCTACATAAAGGTACCTGGTGTCATTCTGACACTTCCTGCTCCTCCTCATTTCCAGCTCTGATGGGAGGTGGAGGTGGAGGTGGGATCACCAGGAAGGTGTCACCAAAGATGAGTGATGTGCTATGGAATGAAATCAGCACAGACACTACTGAAAACCTCATATAGACTCTTATTATGCCAAACACAACAGACTTCACTTGGGATTCGGCAGTTTTTAGTACCCTGATGTCCAGAAATGGGGAACCCATGGATCTCCAGCTATCATATGTGGAGGTCTACAGGTTTTCCACCCCACTATAAGAGGAAAAATAGGAATGCTGGACCCTAGTCCTTAACAGGAAACCATGCTTGCCAAAATCACCCCAACATGCAGCTATTAAAAGTACAGAGGGGTTCCTCTCGAATAAGACATCTCGAAATTTTGCAGGGACTTTACAGTAAATGCAGCATGAAAAAAAAGGAGGAAAGCTGGGCTTCCTAAGACAGGGTGCTTGAGAAGTCTCGCTAATGGTCCTCAGAAGGAAAAAAAAAAGCAGTTGGTTATGAGATGGAAAGGGAGGAAAATCTGCTCTTGCACTGAACCGTTAACAGCCCATGCACCAGGGATGTGGTATGTAGTTTCACCTTTGTTTCACCAAAAAATAGCATGCAAAAATATAAAATTCCAAAAGCATAGCTACCAAGGTTTTATGAGCTGTTTTACCAGTTAAAAATACCACTGGGGTTTTTCTTTCTTTCTGAGAGACATCCTGTCAATTGCTTGCTGCAGGTCAGGAAGAATCTCCCACATGCAGCATTCTAGCAGCTGCAGTTTTCCAAGCACACACCTCTTCCTCCTTCCTTGAGGAACTTGTTAGTGCAACAGCTCTTTCCTACAGACTACCATATGCTCATGTTGCCCTCTAGGGCTGGCTTCAGGATTTGGGGGCTCTGCAGTTGATTTCATCAACTGAGCCATCTTAATAAGCAAGGGATGGAGGGGGAGGATCTCAGAGCGGGCACCTCAGAATTCTCCATCTATGAAGTATGATTTTCGGCAAGCAAGCCTAACTCCTCTGTATCATTTCTTCTTAACGTCATCTTCCAACTCTCCATGTTGTTGCAGTTTCAGCTTTGTACATTAACTGGGCTGCCCAGATACCCTCTTGCCCTTGTGCTGCACAAGATCACGTCTGCATGAATCCCAAATAAAACTATGGGACAATAGTTTGGCCCATAAAGCAAAGACCACGTGGTGCTTAAAGTCTCTTCTCCAGTTTTCCCAGTGGGATCTTGCTGGCTTCAGGGCCAAAGCTGGAGCAGCCATATTGCTCTAGGACTTTACCAGTATATACTTTGTTCTAACGTGGCACCATGTAGGAATGGTACACAGCTGATTTTTTTTTTATTTCAAAAGATACGTTTTAATACATCACAGCCCCACCACAACGTTTGGCTTTAAAGAACAATTTGGCACCACTCAACAGTTGGCAGCAGAGCTACAGTAACAGAATCACCCTTTGATGCTCTGTTCCTAAGTCTACCTTGCCAATTTTAAAATGCTTCCAAGTGCCAGCCATATATTATATATTTAATCAAGGTTTTGCTTTTGTGGTGCTCCATTCTTCAAATCAACATTCAACAGTTTTACATTTATTAGGTGGCCCACTTGTAAAACAAAAATAAAAAAATTAATGCATTGAGGGAAGAGGATTAATTAGAAAAGCTAACTGCATTCATATGGACCTGTCTTCTCTTTACCTGAGGAAAGAGACTCCTTTAAAGCAGTTACAAAGTCACCAGAGAAAGCGTTTGTCATTCTGCTGCCCATGTTCTTGGGAGACAACGATTGGCCTTGGTGTCTGAAGCATGGACAATACCTTTGGTTTAGAGGGAAAAAGCTTCACTGCAGTATGCACCTGCTCCTTCCCACCACTGTGCTAGAATTCCTGGACATCCCCTTCCTCTTTTAGCCCACACCCCTCCAATTCCACTTGGCCATCAGTTCCAATGTTACACAGGTCCTCAGTTTTATCCTGGAAGAGGATGCAATATTCTGAGCTCATCAGGGACATCAGTCAGCTGAATGTAACAGCAATGACTGCTTGGTATTAACAAAAAAATAAAAATACAAAGACATTTATAATAAGCTACATTAATATCCATTTGCTTTTTATAAACCGTCTGTAGCAAATGCATAATGTATATTGTAATAGAAGGCAACAGGACTAGAAGTGATTGCATGGGCCTACAAGGGTGATTCACTGTCTTATCATATAACATTTCAACAACTCTCTCCCCAATATAAGCAAGGCTTTCCTCTATTTACTGGCCTGGTTGTATTGAGAAGAATGAGGGCCTTTGGGTTTTCTATGAAGATGACATTGTACAGATAACATCTGTGGCAAGCATGGAAGCATGACTCTCTCAGCATCAGAAATAATCAGCCTTGCTTAAGACAACAACAGCTGTCCCATAAGAGCTTCCAGGGTTGAATTTGGTGGTTGGTTGGGCCTGCTATTTTCGGATAGGACAACTTCTTGTTCATTCCCCTCTGTCTGAGGAGCTAAATCAACATGCACATTTCTTCTCTTCTGATTTTGCTGATGCCAGCTTCCCTGAACTTCCTCCGTTGGCTGTGTCTGAGACTTGACTCTTGTCAACACACTGTTCCATACGTTTCATTATCAAGTCCAAGAGCGTTTCCACAGCTTTTTCCACATTCTGGCCGGTAGCTGCACTCGTTTCAAAGTATGGGATGCTAACAGGAAAACAGCAAAAAATCTTTGTCAGATGGGACATTTTAAAAATGGGGTCATTAACGAAAATGTCTACCCAGCTCTTCCTTCGAGGGACAACTTATCCACAGATCCCAGGTGGTTTTCCCTCAATACAAAATTGCTTTTACATCAACAGAACCACATCATAGACCTTCAAATCATTCCCTAGACATGCCTAAAAAGGCTTGCTTTGACTTTGCCCTGCTCTTCCCCCTACATAATAGGAGTGGAAATCGAAACTTTTTTAAAACTATCATTGGAGACTCTTGGAGTACCAGATAAAACAAAGACTCAGTCCCACCAGATTATGCAGGAACGCAAGGTATAAACCTTCACCTTCATTAAAATTCCAAATACTAACCAACTTAACATTATTATTTTTTTAAAAAGTACAGATTAGCAGTACTGTGCATCCCAGGAGAGAAAAATGTATGTGAAGCCTTAGGGCATGACCATGGATGCTAGTTAGAAAGTTGAAGTATACACTTAATTACCTTTCATAGGAGAGCTTCAAGGAGGCTTAAAGCCTTTCATTCATGTTAAGATTCCTGTAACTGACTGGGCTTACCCGTATTTGTCTGCTAGATCTTTCGCTTGTCTCTCATTGACCTCTCTCTGATCTGACAGGTCAGCTTTATTTCCAATTAATACAATGTCCGGGTTCTCACAATACGCGTTTGCTTGCAGTTGGCCTAAACAAAACAAAGAAGCCTGGGTAAGGGATGCTGAAAAAGCTATCTGGAAAAAAGACAAGCGTAAAAACAACTGTTTCCATATGACTACCAAGAGGACTTGTTTTCATGTCAAGGCAAGAATTATGCACAACAGAAATTGGAGGCTTAGGAATTTTTGTTGCCCTAGGGTACAACAGCCCTTCCAATGAATAAATAATAAAACTAGAACAACAAAAACTTGTCTAGTAAGGCCAAGTAGCAGAGAATTCATTTCCCTCACTACAATGGCAACAGAATATCAATAACCTGCATGTATGTAGTGCATTTGAAGTGTTGAAAGCACTTCCCACTATCTCAGTAATCCCTCCAAAAGTCCCGTAAGGTAGGCAAATATTATTATCCTATTATGGCAGATACTGTACAGACATGGTGATTGCTGAGGCTTAGAGAATAGGGGATCATAATAACATAGTAGCCTGGCTGGATCAGACCGAAGACTGCCTTATCTAACCAGCATGCTGTTTCCCATAATGGCCAACCAGATGTCTACAGAAAACCAACAAGCTAGGCATGAAGGTGAATGAGGTTGCAGTGATGAAGGGTAGCCAACTTCGCATTAGTCCTATCTCATAGTTCCATCTTTCCCACCCACCCTCAAACAGAAGAGGATTGACTATTGGCGTATGCTGGGAGTGAAGAGCAGATTCACACACACATGCAATGCACACACATCATATGAACGTATGAAAGAGAAAGGAACAAATGCTTAGTTATATTGGCAACCCCCTCCCCCTCCCGTCTTCAAGTCTGCCTGTTCAATTTTTTTATCTATAAAACCCAACTGGTTCATTCACCCCATCCCATCTTGTTGTAGATTTTTGTGGAAGATCTCAGCCAAGCTTTATCCAGAGAGAGTATGTTACAGCGTTATCTCGTGAGTCTGAAGCTAAGGCAAGATTTGAACCAGGGACCTCCTGGCTCAGATTGTAAGGATTCCTGCTCTGTGTTTGCAGTCATGGGATTGTTGTCTATCACATGATGGTGTATGTTTTCATTCCACAGTGTGGGAAGTGACAGAGACAGGATGTTTTGTGTTACTGTGTTCCGTGAAGTAGAACGATTGCCCTTTGTTTTCTCTCTCTCTTTGCTTTCTGATGAGAAAGAGGAAGGAGCTAAGGCAGAATGCTCCGAGTATATTATATGTAAATAAAAATAGAGTAGCCAAAATGCTGTGCTACTGAGTTCTGTTACGCAAACTGAGAACACTCTGCGGATCCCTAAGTGTGCTGATGCTTCTTGGTATCAGTCGCTGTGATGTTTGGGCTGAAGAAAGCTTTTAAAGCTCCCAAACAATCGACCAGGAGGGAGAGAACATGCCAGTCAGGCATGTGTCTCTACCAGGGTCCTACACGAGAGTAGGACAATCCTAACATGGTTATGGGCCCAGCACGCTTCTGCTGCGCCACTCTGCTGGTTCCAGGAGACTCCAACCAGGACAAAATCAACCCCCGATCCTTCCTCTGCTGGCACTGGGTCTGTGGCCCCGATCCCTGGGCCCATAACCATGTTTCCTGGTTTCAATGCGGGCCCAACATTGCTTTCAAGGGGCCTGGGGGTCCAATACATGCAACTCCCAATATGCCAACCTTCCTCAACATGTTGCCATTCAGGTGTTGCTGGACTATAATTCCCATCAACCGTAAGCATTGGTGCTGATGGGAGCTGTAGTCCAAATACCTATGGGCCACCAGATTGGAGAAGGTTGCTCCATGCTCTCTTGCTCACCTCACTTTTTAAAGGTTAGGGTGGAGTATGGGTTTTCCGAGTGCACTTTAAAAAAAATAAAAAATCCCAAGCATGGACAGAGATTCTGTCTTATACAGCAGTAGTCCCTGTATGAAGAATGACAGATGCAATATAGCCTAATCCAAAAGCACTTGAGGGCACGAGAGGCAGCTGCTCCCGCCACTTACTCATCCAGTTTCTGACATTTAAGAAGCTCTGTTGACTGGTGAGATCAAACATTAACAAGAAGCCCATGGCATCTCTGAAAAATGCTGTTGTGAGACTTCTGAATCTGCCAAAAGAAAGAAAGGGAAAGGATCAACATGCAGACTTAGCTCAGGAAGAAAGAAAAAAACCCATAATAGGTAAACATTTTTCTACTGCATGGTTTAATGATGTTGAAACCAAAGATAAATCACAGTGGAAAACTTTTAACGTTCTCCTTTTTACAGGAAATATATGCACCAATTCACTGTTATGCCAATGGTACCATAAAAGCCGAGAAGCCCTCTTGTGGTTTACGATTTGTTCAGTTATGGACGTGAGTGTAAAAATGTCAAAAACTCTGCAACCAGCCTGTATGGCTCATGCAAAATAACAACAATTTTTGCACATTGGCTTGTTTTGTACAATCGAGTCCAATTTTTACTATCAAGGGGATGGGCAAATGAGCCCACCCTGGCTTCTGAGATTTCAGACGGTATTACTCACACACCCTTCAAGCACAACTCTAGCCATAATGATTAGCTAAGCAGGATGTTAGTTCATTTAAGTGAGAGCTGAGAATGATGCAACATTCCAGAGCGCAACAGAATCCCCACAGCCCAGGTAATACAGCCGTACCTTGGTTCTTAAACGGCTTAGTTGCCGAACAAATCTGCTCCTGAACGCCACAAACCCGGAAGTACGTGTTCTGGTTTGTGAACGTTTTTCGGAAGCCGAACATCCAATGAGGTTTCCGCTTGAGTGCAGGAAGCTCCTGCAGCCAATCGGAAACCGCGCCTTGGTTTGCGAATGGTTTTGGAGTCGAACAGACTCCTGGAAAGGATTAAGTTTCAAGAAGCAAGGTACCACTGTATCCAGTTGCCCACATTTATTGTTAATGGGACTGTTGCCCAGTTAAATATATAATAACATATGAGAAATGCCCTGCTGGATCCTGATCCAAAGGCTCATTTCGTCCAGCATCCTCTTCTCATATGGGCCAACCAGGTGCCTATGGGAAGCCTGAAAACAGGACCCAGGTGCAACAGCCCTCTCCCCACTTGCAATTCCCAGCAACTGGTACTGAAAACACGCCACCTCCAGCTCGTATCTATTCCTATTCCCACCTGCCATGGATTTGTCTAATCCCCTTTTCAGCCATCCAAGTTGAGCCATCATTGCATCTTGTGGGACCTAAGGCATTAGCTATATCTTCAGTCATTTAGTCAGTTAATTGGATTAAAATAAGCATATGAATAAAATAATAGGCTCTGAAGGAAAACATTACTGTTGCTTGCAAGATGACGCAAATGGCCACCATCTTAAAAGGTCCCTTCCAACTCTGTCGTTCTATGTACATTTTATTGGTTGCCAGTTACAGACACGCAATGTGGAACGGTAGCTTCAGCAGAATGACAGCATCAGTTGCACAGACTGTGACAGAGAGCAGACGAATCTTGGACTTGGGCCCGAGGAGATTTACACACCACTGGATTGCTAATAAAACTTCAGCACGGTTTACAAAAGAGGGGCAGTAATCCAGCCCCAAGGTAGTGTTGAAGCTGGAACTAACCACAGGGTAGGATACCGCATTGTCTAATAATGGCTCTGTTAAGGATTTGGCCTTTAACAATTGCAATTTCTAGGCATTTTGGAGCTTGGGTGAACATGGAAAGCCACATGTTAAGCTGAGAGTTATTTTTTAAAAAAACAAATGCTATACATAAACATGCATAGCTATTCATATAAATCCATATATCGTATGCTTGCTGCATCCCTCTTTCCTCCCACCTCTTTAATGGTTACCCTTGCCTCCTGGGGGCAGGGACTGGCCTTTGTTGCTTACACTCCTCTGCAAGAGGCTACACAAAACCATGGCAGTCTTATATAATTCACATTTTGATTTGTGACTGCTAACCTATTGGGCACATTCATGAAGACGCTTCCAAGATGGGCACAGCAGCTCTGAGCCCATGTAACCATGGCAGAAAGGCCCCCATGTTGCAATTTCTCCTTGATAAGAGGATATCTCAGATGTAAAGCAGCCCTTGCACTTTAGATGTTACACACGCGAGGACAACTTGCTAGATCACTGCTGACTGAGGTGTGCTAGAAAAGCAACACACCACGATGCAACAGTTGCTGCAGCAAAACGCTTGCTGGAGTCACATGTGCCATGGCCTCAAGCACATTTACTGGGCAAAGTTCTGACTGGAATCAATGGTACAATGTGCCTAACTTTAATATAGGAACAAGGCAGTGGCCGCTTAAAAAAGGAGGGGGGACTTGTAAGCGTGCGTGTAATTAAATATCGAGAAAGGAGCGCATAAGTCTGTCAGAGAGTGAGGATTCTGTGCTTGGAAAAGCTCGGCGTATCTCCCTTTTGCAATTCAATTTCCTCAGCAAAAAGAAATGGAGTAGAGGCTGCCGTGCGCCGAGTTACGCTTCATGGTATGGTCAGGAGGGGGAAATGCGCTATGCTGACGCCAGTCCTCTTGGCGAAAGTAACACACCCACACCCACAAGTCCTCCATTGGATGAACAATTTGCTCTTTCTCCAGTCTCCCTAATAACACCTAACCTGCCTAATCTGAAATGGCCTAGCAGGAACGAATGGAGAACCTTTCATTTGCTCCTCCAATGATCTCTACTTCAGAGATGATGTTCTTATGTGTTACCTTTCTTGCCCAGCTGTGTCCCAGAGCTGAAGATGGACCTTAAAGGCTTTTCCAGGAGAGCCATTTGATCCTCGGCTGTTGTATACCTGAAACACACCAAACAAACCTTAGCTGTTTATTGAGGCAGAGTGGTGACTTGATATGCCTTCCATTAAGGCTGAGAACAGCATGGCTGAATAGCAGGATGGAGAATACAGATGGATACAGATAAGGGGAGAAGTCATCCAACACTGGAGTGATCATGTAGTGGTTGTGGTTGTTTTTGTCACCAAGAGCTGCCTTGGTCATGCCCACAGAATGGAAGATGACATGATCCCTAAGGATGTGCTCTGTAGGGAGATGGCTTCAGGCACAAGGCCAGTTGGCAGACCACCTCTACAAATGCGACAAGAAGGCTAGCAACATCAACCTCAACGTGTGGGAATCTCTTGCAGATACAGTTGGGTTGTGTATCGGTTGCAGTGACCAGAAGAGGAATGACCACTGGGAGGAGTGCAGAGAAGAAACGCCATGGTGCATCTGCAGCAGCACAACCGGACACCTTCATCTGCCCCAGCTGCAGCAAACATGTCTTCTGCATCAGTCTCTATAGGCATAAAAGGTAAAGGGACCCCCGACCATTAGGTCCAGTCGTGACCGACTCTGGGGTTGCGGCGCTCATCTCGCTTTATTGGCCGAGGGAGCCGGCGTACAGCTTCCAGGTCATGTGGCCAGCATGACTAAGCTGCTTCTGGCGAACCAGAGCAGCGCACAGAAATGGCATTTACCTTCCCGCCGGAGCGGTACCTATTTATCTACTTGCACTTTGATGTGCTTTCAAACTGCTAGGTTGACAGGAGCAGGGACCGAGCAATGGGAGCTCACCCCGTCGTGGGGATTCGAACCGCCAACCTTCTGATCGGCAATCCTAGACTCTGTGGTTTAACCCACAGCGCCACCCGCATCCCTTCTATAGCCATAGCAGGCACTATAACCTTCAAGTTTGACTTCACCCCCAGAGCTGCACTCTTCTATTGTCTCTTGAGACAGATGGATGCAAACAAGAACAAGAGCATCCTGGATGTGACCAATGCCATGAGTGCATGATGGCAGAGAGAGGGCTGGTGTAGAATGGATACAGTATTAGACTTGGGCTGGAGAAACCTAGACTCAAACCCAGCTTGGGCACAAAGCTTACTTGGTGGCCTTGGCCCAATTACTCTTTCTCTATTTTCAGAGTTGAGGTGATGAAAATACGAGGAAATCCTATGAGGTCTGGGTGGCGTACAACAGTCTGTTGCTACTGAACGAACTAAAATAGTAGTCTGACCAGGGGATCTGAGGATGGATGACAATTTTGTTGTCATAACAACTCAAGCAAAGGCTGCACTATCAAAGTAAAAGTGTGGATGAACTGCTCAGGGACTGACTGGTGCCTAATTGCTAGGAATGGGCACATCATTAATGAGGTGCATTGATCTTCCTTTGTCCTTTGCCTTCCATGATGATCTGAACACCAATTTCATTCATCTTGGAGCACAGAGATGGAGGTAGAATGGTGTACTGTCCCATATCCTTTCAAAAAATCTACCAACCCCCAGGCCAGATCCAAACAGTTGTGTTCTGTGCTCCATATCTGTAACAGGGGCTCTGAGTGTCGCTGCCTTCTCAGAGTAAATCCATCATGTGCTGAACAAGCTGCTCCTGAAACCTGGGAGAAATTCAGGAGCATCTACTGGCACAGGATAGGGACTAGCAGTCCAGGGGCATGAAGTTGGAACCCCCAACACAGATGTGGAAGTGTGGCTGAACAGCTGTTTGGATACCAGAGAACATGAAGTGGTTGTTTAGAAAAAGGAATGTTATGTGCCACAGTAACTAGAAGTTATAAATGAGGCTGTGCGCACATTACCAGGTTAAAATGCAGCAAGGTCATTCTTTTTCACAATTCAGATGAAAGCTGCTTTGGGGGCAAATGTATCAAAATGCAGTATTTCATAAGAAATGACGGATAGGTGCAGGCTACAAATGGATTGTGGCTTAAGGAGCACACTGGATGCAGAGTAAATAGGAGTGTGTACACAGCCTCAGTTTCCCACAAAACTAACAGGATATAATGAGACGAGAAAAGACTTAATGCACAGCGAGTCAGCAATATATTGGCTTGACCTTGAAAACGGTTACGCTGGTATATTACAAAAAACAGTATGTATCTGTGCAAAATTGCACATATAAAAGAAAACGTTCACAAAAATGTCTCTTTTTTGTGGATGACAAAAAAAAATTCCTGTGTGTGGCAAAAGCTTTTTTCTTATTACAGTTTGTAAGCAAGAATGCTGGCTTTTATCGATTAAACCAGCCTTTATCAACCATGGGCCCTACAGACCAGCTGGTAAGTTGTGTTCTGAAACATCTGGAGGGCATCAGCTTGGGAAAGGCAGGATTAGATATTTAGACTGCAGTCCTACAACCAGTTAACTGTAAAGAGGGATGGAAGATCTTTTAATTTTGGTCCTCTTGGTTTCTTAATTTGCCAATCCTAAATTCAGTTCTCCACATTGCTGCAGCAATTTGCAAACTTTCTAAAAACTAAACCTCATCAAAATTCTTCAGCATTTTACTGTAAGTTTATTACACATTCATGTATGCATTTTTTGACTAATGTACACACTTATACGGTGTACTTCTGTGTTCTATTCTACACCAGTAAATTCATTTTTGTGCACACTTTTACCTAATAAATAATTTTTTGTAAGCATTGTTTGAATGCAGAACTGGATCACAAAACTAGGTAAGTACAAAATTTGAAGGACAGTTGCTTCAGTTCTTGTAATGTTTTGGAAAATGCAAATTTGATATGTGCATTGCACTGAATTCTGCCCCCATCCCTACCTGTGAGCATGTTGCATTGAACCCAATGGGCCTTACTTCTGAGTTGAATTTCACTGTTCATACACTGTGAAAATCTGTTTGGATAAGGCAGTGGAATGGTGGCAACCACATGGACACTTCCTAGAATAGCAATCTCATGTGTGGTTTGTGCTATGAAATCCCACACAGTCAAAAGAAGTTTCTCTTCATTCTGACCCCAAAGTACCACCTCTGATAGCTCAACAAGCCAGCAGAAGAATGGCAGAAGGATTTCTGGAGCTGCGTAGGGTTTCCATATGCCAACCAAAGTTCCTATACCGTTAAAAAGTTTAGTAATGCAAAACTAGTTCACATTTCGCTCTTACAGCTGTTAGCAAGTCTGCATTGAGAACATCTGGTTGCTTCAAAGATCAAAGTACAGTCGTAACTCGGAAGTCAAAAGGAGTCTGTTCTGGAAGTCTGTTTGACTTCTGAAATGTTCGGAAACCAAAGCGCGGCTTCTGATTGGCGGAGGAAGCTCCTGCAGCCAATCGGATGCCATGGAAGCCCTGTCAGATGTTCGGCTTCCAAAAGACCATTCAAAAACCGGAACACTCACTTCCAGTTTTCGATCGTTTGGGAGCCGGAACATTCGACTTGCAAGGAGTTTGGGAGTTGCAGTACGACTGTACACACAGTTTTGGCAGAACAGTAGTCAAAAGTATGTATAGGATAAAGTTAAAATGAAACAATACATGAATGCAGACTCTGAGTGGATGAAGGGTTTGGACAAAGCTGCATGTCATTCAGATGAGCGCTACAAAGGCTGACTACAGTGCCTGGAAGAGAATAATTGTTGCAATGCTAAGGATAGCCAGGTTGTGTTGAAATATTGGGAATGTTTCGTATCTTAATGGGACCTCCAGAAGAAGAATACTTATCTTTTTCACCTTATATAGAAAAGAGACTCACCACCCGCTTTTCCCGGAAGTCAATTCCTACTGTGGTGATGAATTTGGGGTTGAACTTGTTGTCGGTGTATCTGTAGAGGAACGTGGTCTTCCCAACCCCAGAATCCCCGAGGGCAAGGAGTTTGATCAGATAGTCATAGTCCCCATCAGTCATAGTGCTGACCTTGATGAACCTGCAGAACAGGGACAGAAGGAGAGGGGGAAAGATCGGAATGAAGACAACAAGAAAAACCAGAGACACAAAAACTGGAAGCATCCTGAGTTCTACAGCAAGTTTAACCCTCTTTCCCACTTAGCTGAAGCTTAGAAATTATCCAGCTACACTTTCTGCACTGTGCCTTCCTTTATTGGAGGGGATGTTGCTCTCACCGTTGAGCCATGAGCCAGGCAGTATGTATTAGAATCAAACTTTTAAGACTCTCCCCTACCACGCCCATCAGCATTTTTTCAATTAGAGCTCTTAAGATTTTATTTTATTCACTGTTCCTCATGAGTTTCATTACACTGTTTTATTGCTACAGTGGATTTCTTGCGGCTGTTGTCAGAGCTGTATTTCAGCTTGGGAGGGGGATGTTTTGGTTATTATACTGTGTTTAATCTGAAAGCTGCCTTGAGTATGCCTTTGGGCTGTAATTGTGCGACAGATACCAAAATAAATGAATGCATAAAAACAATGTTGGCACCAACATTAATCACCGTGTAGGCTAACTAGGGTACCTTTTAACCAGTACCTAAAGGTTTAATGCTGGTTTTGGAGCCCGGCTAAAGGGGAGCCCACATTATGCTTCCCTCAAATGTGGCCACAAGGAGAGAATTTCTTCCCAAATGGCTGCCCTCTTTGGTTCACCGATCACAGCTCAGATAGAAAATGGCAAAAGGAATCTGATCAATCTCATCATTTGTTTTCTAACATACTTTTATCCGCACTCATGCTCTTGGAACGGGAACAGAGCAGTCTATCAAATGCAGGAAGCCCAGGCAGTTTTAAGCAGTGGGGGAGAAGAGTCACACTGCCCAACCTCTGCTGATGAAAAGGAAAGACTGCCCAGTGAATTGCCCTTTTGAGATTAATACTCCTTTGTATCTGCTCTCTTCCTTTACAGATAATGCATCGAGTAGAAATCATCCAACAACTCCCTTGCTGGTTTTTGATGTCTGAAAGCAGTTTGCAAAAGGGAGAAGTCCAGTGTGCATACTTAGGGGGTTCACTGCTACAAGATGTAGCAATGGCAAGTGGCTTACATGATTTTATTTTTAAGGATTAGACAATCAAGGTGAACAACACTTTCAGGGGTTATATATTTGTCCACGCTACCTAAATGGAACCTCCATGTTCAGTATATCTCCAAGAAGATGGGTAGGCAAACTAAGGCCTGGGGGCCGGATCCGGCCCAATCACCTTCTAAATCTGGCCCGCAGATGGTCCTGGAATCAGCATGTTTTTATATGAGTAGAATGTGTCCTTTTATTTAAAATGCATCTCTGGGTTATTTGTGGGGCATAGGAATTCGTTCACCCCCCCCCAATGCAGTCCTGCCCCCCCCACAAGGTCTGAGGGATGGTGGATCAGCCCCCTGCTGAAAAAGTTTGCTGACCCATGTCCAAGAACATCAGGACCTATGGACAAGCAACAGAGAAGGGCTGTTGCCTTCATGCCCTGTTTCGGGATGTGTGTGTGTTTGTAACAGACAAGTGCAGGCATAGGCAAACTTGGCCCTTCGGGTGTTTTGGGACTACAACTCCCATCATCTGACCACTGGTCCTGTTAGCTAGGGATGATGGGAGTTGCAGTCCCAAAACATCTGGAGGGCCAAGTTTGCCTGGACAAGTGGTACCTGACCAACAAAACACTGCAGACTCTTGTTCAGTGCTGCAGCCAGCCATGCCTTCTTTCAAGACATTCCATTCTACCATCTTCCATTTTCTATCCATACCTCTCAAACTCAGCATTTTGTAGCCACTGAACATGCTCAGTTCTCATTGGGCAATTATTAAGTTTTTGTCTCCTTGCCCCCCCCCCAAGATTCCACCCCCACTTCTGCAAATCTTGTGTTTCCCCTGAGCAGATTCTACCCCTTTGTTTCTCAGTAGCCTTTATTTGGGCCACATAACTATCATAATTCAGTACCAGAGTTATTTATTATTGTCTACCACAGAACCAGAGGGACGCAGGTGGCGCTGTGGGTTAAACCACAGAGCCTAGGACTTGCCGATCAGAAGGTTGGCAGTTCGAATCCCTGTGACAGGGTGAGTCCCCGTTGTTCAGTCCCTGCTCCTGCCAACCTAGCAGTTCGAAAGCACGTCAAAGTGCAAGTAGATAAATAGGTACCGCTCCAGCGGGAAGGTAAACGGCGTTTCCGTGCGCTGCTCTGGTTCGCCAGAAGCGGCTTAGTCATGCTGGCCACATGACCCGGAAGCTGTACGCCGGCTCCCTCGGCCAGTAAAGCGAGGTGAGCACTGCAACCCCCGAGTCGGTCACGACTAGACCTAATGGTCAGGGGTACCTTTACCTTTACTACAGAACCAGACTCTCAAATAGCTGAATACACTGACCGGGTTCACAAGCCACACTGGCTTTGTGCAAATATCTAATTATTCAACTCTTTTCCATGCCCCTCAAGCTGAGGTTGAAACATTCAGAACAGTCTTGTGTCCCGGAAAGGAATTTAAAGTGATCACAGAACAGATGACGGGGCTTCTGACATCACACAAGGCGCTTACGATTTTTAAATAACCAGAAGACTTGACAATCTCCCTCTTGACAAAGAAAGGCGAGTCCACTCAAACATTCTAGACAGATTGTGGGAAAGGTCACTGAGCAAATTTTGCCCACTGAAAGATTGGGTTTATTCCCATCTGAAAACCAATGTTCTGATTTCTGGTTCTGCAGAAACAAGTTATGCTAATTTCAGCTTGCACTTCAAATAAAGAGGTTAAGCTGCTGGAGGCTTCATCACATTACCTATTCAGACAGTAAAGTCTGACATCCTTGCCTTGCATGAAGTACCCTCAGCCAGATATTTGCACTTACGGCTTTTGTGCCTAGTTAGTTTTAATCAACTGACTTCCTCTGCTAAGCCTGAAACTAATTAGAAGCCTGTGAGGCCCCAGTGAAACCCCGCCTGCCTCTCCCCACCCAGGATCACCACATCCTTTGCTAGTGGAGTCCCTATGGTCCTTTCGGAATTGTAATCCAATTCGAGACATGTTCTGAACAACTTTATTACTTTTGTCCCTGACAGCTCATTCATCTTGCTGTTCCCTCTGCTTAAGAAAAAAAAGGGATTGAATTTTGCACAGATTATGTAACACACATAGTCCGCCACCAACATATGGTGTGGAAAGGAATAGTCTTCCCAAAACACTGCATATAAACAGACGGAGGTAATAAAATTGTAATGGCGCATGGGGGGAAAGCTACCAGAAGCAATCTTCTCAGGAGACAGAATTCTCTTCTCTTTTTCTGTTGGCTAGGTGTTTTCATTACAATGTAATAAACAGAACCATAAGCTTGTGGCACTGAAGTCATCTTAGGTCTTCATGCACAAACTTTGGGGGAGCAGGTAGGGTGTGTGTGTGTGTGTGTGTGTGTGTGTGTAAGAGAGAGAGAGAATGAATATCTGGAATTCATGATGCTCAGAGAAATGCTAGATGGGATTCTGATACAGGGAAAGAGCCCAAGATAAGGTAAGGTTTATCAACTTTGGCTTCCCACAGAAAAATCCCTGAAGCAATTCACAACCAAGTAAAAAAGCCACAGTAATAAAATCACATAAATATTATTAAAAACAGATTTAACAGTACAGTAATATATCATTAGGTAAAGGTAAAGGGACCCTTAGCCGTTAGGTCCAGTCGTGGACGACTCTGGGGTTGTGGCGCTCATCTCACTTTACTGACTGAGGGAGCCGGTGTACAGCTTCCAGGTCAGTGGCGTAGCGTGGGGGGTGCAGGGGGGCCGGCCGCACCGGGCGCAACATCTGGGGGTTAGGCAAATCCACGGGTTAGGGGGCGCAAATCCACGGGTTAGGGGGCGCAAATTACTTGCCTTGCCCCGGGTGCTGACAACCCATGCTACGCCACTGTTCCAGGTCATGACTAAGCTGCTTCTGGCAAATCAAAGCAGCACACGGAAATGCCGTTTACCTTCCCGCCGGAGCGGTACCTATTTATCTACTTGCACTTTTACGTGCTTTCGAACTGCTAGGTGGGCAGGAGCTGGGACAGAGCAACGGGAGTTCACCCCATCACGGGGATTCAAACCACTGACCTTCTGATCGGCAAGCCCTAGGCTCTGTGGTTTAGACCACAGTGCCACCGTGACCCCATAATATATCATGCCTTCTCTCTTGCTGACACACTCCTTGGAAGGGGCATTCAGAGAAGGAAGGGTCTCAGATGATATCCAAGGTCTGGACAAGTTCATAGAGGAAAATGTGGTGTTTTAGATATACAGTCGTAAAGGTTGATATACAGTGGTAAAGAGAAGGTTGCTACAGACAAGTCTGAACTCACACAAATGTTCAAGTAAAGGTAAAGGGACCCCTGACCATTAGGTCCAGTCGTGACCGACTCTGGGGTTGCGGCGCTCATCTCGCTTTATTGGCATAGGGAGCTGGCGTATAGCTTCCGGGTCATGTGGCCAGCATGACTAAGCCACTTCTGGCGAACCAGAGCAGTGCACGGAAATGCCGTTTACCTTCCCACCATAGCAGTACCTATTTATCTACTTGCACTTTGACGTGCTTTCGAACTGCTAGGTGGGCAGGAGCAGGGACCGAGCAATGGGAGCTCACCCCATCGCGGGGATTCGAACCGCCGACCTTCTGATCGGCAAGCCCTAGGCTCTGTGGTTTAACCCACAGCACCACTCGCGTCCCAATATATACAGTGGTAAAGGTAAAGGTACCCCTGCCCGTACAGGCCAGTCTTGACAGACTCTAGGGTTGTGCGCTCATCTCACTCTAGAGGCCGGGAGCCAGCGCTGTCCACAGACACTTCCGGGTCACGTGGCCAGCGTGACGAAGCTACTCTGGCGAGCCAGAGCCGCACACGGAAACGACGTTTACCTTCCCGCTAGTAAGCGGTCCCTATGTATCTACTTGCACCCGGGGTGCTTTAGAACTGCTCGGTTGGCAGGCACTGGGACCGAGCAACGGGAGCGCACCCCGCT